AGAAAACAGTAATAAATCCAAATATTTTCAACATAAATTCAAAATATTTTTCCAAAGTTCAACAATATAAACTCAACCAGCAACATATATCAAAATATTTTTCCAAAATCATGCCAACAACATATTCAACCCAATATATAAACCCTAAATTCAAACCCTAAACTAACAAACAGCCAGCAACAAATCAACAACCAATATACCTTAAAGCAACAAATTAGCAATAATGCCAACAACATTCAAACAAATAATCATGGTTACATTAATTTATAAATAATCCCTAAAATCCTGAAGCAAACAAAAAATTCAAGCAAGCTAAATCAAAAAATTTTCAACCTTTAAAAACTAAAACCATACCAACTTAGGTATAGGTTAAATGAATGAGAGAAAGCAGAAGATGAACGTCGGCCAGATAGGAGGTTGAATGATAGTTGAGGGTGATCAGACGGGCAATCGAAAAAAGAATGAAGAAGTGAGAAAAAGGGTAACTGAGGTGTGTGATGGTCGACGTGAGTCGCTGGTTGCTGTGGGTGGGCTTATAGGCAACAAACGATGTACTCAAGTGGGGAAAACAATCGAAGAATGGTTAGATCAAAAGGAGTTAAGGAGACAGAGAGGAGAAATGAAGGGAGAAATCTAGCGTGAGGATTTTTATTTTCATTATTGACGAAATCTTTCATTGGTAATTAAACTCAGGATAAATTGAAGGGAAAATCTCACGTACATATTTTTATTTTAATTACCAATGGAATAGGGATAATTAGGGGGGGATCACGTGTTTGTATGTTAAGATTTATTACCGACCAAATCAGCAACGAAATATTTCGTGGGTAATTAAAAAATAAATTTTTGTCGATAAGCTAACTTAAGTCTTACCACATTATGGACCAAGTAATCCGTCAATAACATGGTCGGCAAGTTTTTTCCGTAACCTATTATTGACAGACAGATTCTATCAGTAAATTTCGTGCCATCTTATTGTTCATGGTCACAATTATATTATCAATGGAATTCATGTAGTCGGTATTTTCTATCATTATTCAGTCGATAATCTATCGATAGTCTGTTAGTGATTGCCAATAGATTATTACCAGCTTAATGGATTCCATCAATAAAGCTTGTTTTTTTGTAATGATTACTTAGACAAAAATGATCAATTCTTAGTATAACATGATAAGTTCGATGAAATTTCAAAACTTTTACCCTCTTTTGAATTCAAGCACTTGAGTGGTCTAAAGTGTGAGAGTATTTGGTGACTTAGTTTGGGTTCTTATTAGGATATGCTCATTCCAAATAGTAACAACCAATTCATCTGAAATCATTTTCACCATTTTTGTGAAAAGAAAACATGCCTTTTTTAAAAAAAAAACTAAAATCGAAATTTTCTAACAAAATCCTATTCAAGTAAATGAAAAGTTAAAAATTCTCCCATTTTCGTTTGGACAAATTGTTCAAGACTTAAGGCTCTTCATTGCCATTTCACATCTTCAACCAAAAGTTCAATCTATGACAAAATAGATCTCTAACTTTCCATAACCTCAATAGTCAAGCTGTCATCCTCGATGAAACTTTCAATCTTTTCCTTCAATTGTCTATATCTTTTAGTCGAATGTACAATTGCCCCATGTGATTGTCACATATAGCATTCAAATCATAATTCTTTGATGATGAATTTGGAGTTGTTTTCAAAGGCACAAGATTGATGTATTGGTTTTTGATTAGTAGTGCCAAAAGATCGTGAATTAGTATTGGCAATGGGTGAGTCTTGGGATTAGGAAATGGTCAAGATATAGGTGAAGGTGTGGGTGTTTGTGGATTGATATTTGTTTATAATGTTGGTTTTGGAACCTACTGATAAGGATATGGATTTTAAGAGATGTTATTCAAAATGAAGTAGTAAGGTTGGTAAAAAGGATATGGATAATAAGGGATGAAACCCTTAGTTTTTTGCCCTTCATATATAATTGCTTGAGTATCACCTTCTTTCTTGTTCAGCACATTTTCCATTCTAGGATTAGCTAAATCTTTTTCTTTGATCTTGCCATATTTAATTGCATTCTCAATTATTTCTTTTGAAAACACCATGTTTGCACAGTTCTTTGTAGCATTTTCAATCAGTCTTTTATAATATGAGGCTTTCACAATGTTAACAAATATTATTGTTATTTTTTTTCTTAGTTAATGGTGGCTAGACCTTTAAGGTTATATCTCTCTATCTCTGAACATAGTCCTTAAAGCCTTCAGTAGCTTTTTGCTATGCCTTATCGGGTTAAGCGGTTTGGAACCATGTTTGCCACTTGTTTGTATTGAGCTATGAATGCTCATGCTAAGTCTTTCCATGAATGCACATGACTTAATTCTATCCAGTTTGTTATAAGGTTGTCTAGGAAATAGTGGATCAACAACTTGCCATCGTGATTATGTGCAGCCATCTTACGACAATAAATTGTGACATGTGGCATTAGACATTTAGTCCCATCATATTTCTCAAAGTTTGAAACTTTGAACTTTTGAGGAATAACTAGTCTAAATACAAGACTAAGTTCTAATGCATTGATGGAACATAAGGTATTTATCCCTTCCATAACACGCAATTGTTCTTCTAAGTGGTCAAATTTCTTCAATGCTTTCAAATTATCCATAGCCTCAGACATACCTCTTTTCAACTGCTCTTGTTATCTAGGGTCATCCAAATTTGGAATTATAATTGGATTAACAGGGTACACTTCAGTGGTGGCTTATTGTGTCGATGATTGTCTATCGTAATAAAGATATCCTCCAATAGGTGGCATGAGGAACTGGTGTTACCTTTGAGATACTTATGGTTGGTGTTGGGGAGGACCGAATTGGGGATCATTATTGCTTGAGGTCTGTTGGCTTACTAGATTAGAAGGTTTTTCAACCATTCTTTTTCTTTTGCTAATGTTCATCATCAATTCCATCATCTCGGCCAATTGTTCTTTCATCTTTTCTTTAACTTTTTTCACTTTATCCATTCAAGTTGGGTGTTTATCCTCCATAACTCTGGTTTGCAAACAAGTGGACTATTTTGAAATTTTTTTCAAGGTCGAAATATTTTAGAACCTCAAGTTCTCAAAATCTTGCTAATGTGTTGGTTAGGATTGAAGAGCCATTGCTTGACTACTTTCAACTAGTAAATCTCTTCTTAAATTTGCAAAATTGAATATTCTAGTATGATTATGATGCATGGATGCAAAACAAAAAGGAGCAAGTAAGTACATGTAGTAATTGATTAAAGATGTGAGCATTGTTCTTTTATGTACCTATTCTTGGGCATCTTTTTACATAATAGGATAGGCAAGCTCTACTTAAGGTTGGCTCCATAAGGTTCACTATATGTTGGGCTTGGATTAGTCACAAAGGTAAATGTTACCAAATTATTCCTCATTTTCGTCCACGAAGGACTGGTAAGGTATTCCAATCCTCACCCATTATAAGCTACCAACAAAAAGAGTTCATTTGAATAGAAGTATTTCACTACCTTATGCGGAGGTAATCACCTCACAAGAGCAAAGAAACTCTATTTCCTCCTAAAAGGGATAAAGCCTGGATAGAAGGCTTATGCAATCATGCATAGTGAATGTGTGAAAAAGCTTTTATACATATGAAGAAAAGAAAAACACAATAAAGGAAATTAACTTTAAAAATTGAACTATTGTAAACTACAAGGCTTTTAAGACTACACATAACTAACTATTGGCTTCATTTTAAAGTCTCTAGTGGAGTTGCCAAGCTATCATAACGTGTGAATCCTAGAACTCAACCATTTAACGTAAAAAGGAGTCACCGTCAATCTTTTTTGTTTAAGCGCGATTGACCGGCCAAGTGAATCTATTTTTCCTAATAAGGTCATAGGCTTAATTTAAGACCATAATAGGTTTTAGTTTACGAAGCATATTAGGTTCGGAAGTTCATTTACGCGTAAGAAAGGTATTAGCACCCTCACAACGCCTATTTAATTGATGCCTAATTAATTAGGAAATAGAGTTCTAGGGTTAGACTCCATAACTCAACACATTGAATCCATTCAAATTCATTTATTGATATTCTTAAATAAAAAATAATCCATTAAACTTGTTTAAAATAATAAATAATATGGTAAAATATCTCACCTTCTTAAGTTTTAATTGAAATTTCAAGCGGGTCCATTAATTTTCAAAACGGATATTTTGGCTCAGAAAAATCTACTAGACATATATGTCTAGTTGTTAGTCAACCGTTAATATTTCAATTAGTTTAATGACGTATCAATTTTGAAATGATAATTTTATTTTTTATTAATTTTAAAAAATACTATTATTAATTTTTTATTAAACTCTTAGGAAGCATCGATCAAGAACACTAGATCTGGTGCCCCAAGAGAGGGAGCACCAAATCTGGTGGCCCCTAAGAGAGGGGAGCATCAATCAAAGAGAGCACCAGATCGGTGCTCCTCAAGAGAGGGGAGCACTTAGATTTGGTGCTCCTTCCCTCGAGCACCCCTCCCTTGGGAGCGCCAATTTGGTGCTTTCCTTTCTTGGGGAGTACGGTCAGTGCTCCCCTCCCTTGGGGAGCAAAGAGAGCACAAATCGGTGCTCGTTATTTTTTTAAAAAAAATTATATAATAATTATTTTTTAAACTAATAAATAAAAAAAATATTTTAATCTTTTTATATTATTTGTTAATGGTGTTTACATTTTTAGGATGAAGAATCTATTTCGAAAATTAATAGACCTGTTTGAAATTTTAATTAAATTTTAAGAGAGTGAGAGTATTTTACTTTAAATAATATCATGTGGTATGACACTTTTTAACATTATTCATTTAATGAGAATAAGATCATATTATGTAATCCTTTTAATAAACATGTCGCATCCATGTTAATCACTTTTATCGTAGCACTTTTATGTTTTTATGAATTCATATGTTTTTTGCCCAAGAAATGGCACGAGAGCAACAGAGATTGGATTTGCACAAAAAAATTTAAAAGTTAAAGCATCTCTTAATACAATCATTCGGCTACCATTTTTATTTATGAAGAATTAATGCCAACCGGGAATGCTAGTGCTAGTGCAACAAAGTGGATACAAATACAACTATAGATGCTCCCAACTGCTAACCACAAATTTCTTTTGTGATTTAATGTCATAAAGCAACTTAGATAGAAATAGATCGTAAATAATTATTATACTCAAGGAATGAAACTTCTTTCATTCTCCCGCAAGCACGTCTCTGTCACACGGACACGTTGGGAGTGGAAAGGATCCAGTGCCCTTGACGAGCAATGCATCAGCTCCTTCCTTGATCAACTTCCACGCGGCAACCACGTGGCGATCCTCTGTCAGCGTGGCCCCCACCGCAAACCTCAGTATGTATATCCCACCGACTTTGGTGTGGGTCATATAAACCCGCCCTGTTGAGTTGACCCACTCCAAGAGCTTCCGGTTCAACATCTCGGTATAATCCGATCGGATATTCTCAGCCGGTTTTAACCGAAAACACACCAGCCCGAACTCTCTTGGCACCACGATCTCGAACCTTTGGTCAGATCTTACAAACCGCTCGAACATTTTGGCCATGCGTACGTCCGAGCGGATGTGATTTTGTATGTTGACAATACCATAGCTTCTAAAAATGAGCCATAACCGTAACGATTTGAACCTCCGACCTGTACCGACTTGCCAATCCTTAAAATCCACGACCGACTCTGATTCGCTTTGTTTGTTTCTCAAGTACTCCGGGTTGGTGCTAAGTGCTTTCACTAGCAAGCTGGGCTTTTGGACCCACAAGCAGCAACAATCCAAGAAGCTGAGTAGCCACTTGTGGGGACTTAAACTCAGCGAGTCCACTCGTTCTATCCCATCCAGGTGATGCCTGAACTCTGGGCATATACATGCACTACCCGCGTAGGCAGCATCGACGTGCACCCAGATGCCATGTTCATTAGCCACGTCAGCAAGCGGTCCTATTATATCAACGGCAGTGGTGGAAGTCGTCCCCACATTTACACAAAGGTAGAGTGGGATCAGCCCGGCTGCCACGTCAGCTTCCACTGCCTTCCGGAGATGAAGAGGAGACAGAGAGAAAGCAGTGTCGAGGGTAGTCGGAATGGACCTTATGTTTGGAGGAGAAATACCAGCCAACTTACAGGCTTTGGCGAATGTGGAATGAGTTTGGTCAGAGGCATAGACGACAAGCTTGTGCATGCTGTCGAAGCCCAGAACATCGCGAGCCTTGTCTCTGGCTGCAATGAGAGTAACAAGAATAGCTTCGCTGGTTGTGTTTTGAATGATGCCACCACCATTGCCTTGAAACATGAAGGACTTGGTAGCTTCAGCATGTTGGCTAGCCAGTCCATGACGATCATTTCCAGCTCGGTTGAGGCTGAGGAAGCTAGCCAGTTGAACCCTACGGAGTTAAAGCACGTGCAAAGCATTTCTCCAAGAAAAGCGGCAGTGCTAGCAGTGGAAGGAAAAAATGCAAAGAAGTTAGGGCTTAGCCAATGGTCATGCACGGGATTATCTGGTTTTGCACGTCTTGGAGAATTGTTTCGAGGGGTTCAGGGAGATACGGGGCATTTTCTGGGAGGTTGGCGCGGAGATAACCTGGCTGCACCTGGCTTAGAACTGGGTAGGTTTCTATTTTTTGGTAATAATCGGCAATGAAATCTACCATTTCATGGGCTTGTTTTCTGAATTCTTCGGGGTCTAAGGGATTGGAATGGCAAGTGTCGGGAAAGTTAGAGTCAAGTCTACCCATAATCAAGCAACTTTTAAGATAACAGAGAAAGAGATTATGTTACTTTAGGGAGGTGAGGATCTTGGTGCCATCAGGGGGCTATATATATTTGTAGCTGGGGAAAGAAATTGAGGGAAGCATTGCGCGGTTAGTATTAATTTATTATTTACATGTGTTATTTTATTATTTCTGGCGGTCCTGTTTGGTGTATGTATAATAAATATAATTAGTACGTTCGTATTTCTTTTTTACTTCTCTATTTTGGTATAATCGGAAATTGTTTTGATAACTATTGATGTTAACTAGTACTTTTTTTTTTTTGTTCTAACGAGGAATTGAGGGCGAGGGAGGATTAGGGTTTGGTAAAATATCAACAATGCGTGTATGTGAAGGTTTTCTAAAGAAAAGGGATATCATGAACATGAAAAATTCATGATTAATAATAATAAGTGGAGAGGATTTGTGATGATCTAAATATGATAAATTTATGAAAAGAAAAAATTATTGTTACGTAATAAATATTTTCTATTAAAATGTCGAAAAGTTTTACTGCCACAGACTTTGTCAATTCCATTACGTAGCTTCTGAAAACAATATTAAACAACGCGTCTTATCAAAACTCCCAACCAGATCGATATCAGCTGATAGTCAAAAGGTCAAGGGTTTTTTTTCACGTGCTACTAATGAATGCTGGGGTCATGGTTAAGTGGTCAATGATTAAATGGCCCTACAAATATGATAGTTAAAGATAACATGAGATCCGGCGAATGAGAATCCTTGCCATCCACGATTCTTCACGTCCCGTAACCCGGATGTTTAATTATTACGCTTTTTCAGCCTTTCACAACCAATCAGGGAGTCTAGATTTGGGTTCATCGAAAGCAAAGACAAAAGATTTGGATGTGCTTCAGTTTTCTTTTCCTTTCTTTCTGTCTCATTGAACTTTCGCCAGGAGCTATAAAACCCGAATGGTTCCTTCAAATCTGAACAGTGCACCATACATTTTGGCACAGGCCGCTGCCTTGCTTTACTTTTCTTTCTGTTTATGTAGTATTATTTCCAACTATGTTTAGAGATGGATTGAAAGGTAGAAAGCGCCAAAACGTCTCTAAGAAATCAAAGCATATTAGGTTTGAACTTTGAAATTTGTGGTTGGTAAAAATGCCAGCGTCCACAAAGTTCAAACAATTCAACAAAAGACCGTAGGGCAACATAAAGCAATAATAATTGTTTAGGTAGCTGCTGGGGTATGGTTAAAAGAAATACATTAGAAAATACGCCAAATATAATAGAATAAGACAAATTGCGTGACTTTTTTCCTGCTGCAGCATTTCTCATTCTAGGAAGGAACTTGCTGCAGCATTTCTTTTCTTGGAGAAATAAATTCATTTTCTTGCTTTTTCCAAAAAAAGAAAAAAACTGCACATACACTATCTTAACTTTGGTTGATTGCACTTCCACTTGATCATTGGTTGTCTTTTCTTCTTTATGGCATAATTAATGAAAGTTTTAATAAAAAGGTAAATTATTGTTTCATCTTATATATAATTATATTAATTATGATTCCATTTTTATTAAAATTATGTCTGTATAACCCAAAACATATCGATTTCTTTTATAATTTTCATGTGTGGGTGATTTGTGCTAACATGACGATCATATTTACAGATGTTACAACTTGATCTTCCAAGGGTTGAGAGTATGTGCACCCTTATATGAAGAAAATGAAAAAAATAATCGTACAAAATATATCAAGCACTACAAAAAAATTAGGCATTTTTTGACAAAAATTTTTATAGGAAAATGGTTCGAAATGATGGGAAAAACCCAACCAAGCATCACAATGCAAATAATAAAAATAAAACCAAAATTACAAATGCAGTGGCATAACAATTAAAAGTGACTTTTCCACCCAAGGTTGCTTTCATGATTTTTAGATCATATGTAGTACAACAAAACACACATGTGATTTGGTCATTACCTTCTGTACAAAGAAAAGCTTGATTCCTTGTACAAACTCCACCAAAACAGCCTCTCTAAGAGACCTCACACTAAGTCCAATTGTTGTAAACCAAAGCTGTTTAAGAAATTTTACGCAACCTCTAATGAAAGTCCACATGATGAATGGAGAAATCCAAACAAGTGAGACGGATTGCCAAATATTCAATGTGCTAGCAAGGATGTGTTTTAAAACACCCTTTCCTTCCTTTTACCTTAGCCAAAAGAATAAAAGAAAGATTGATTTTTTTCTTCACACACTCATAAGAGTTGGCTACTCTACTCTCTAGTGTTGAATGGCGGCTAGGTTACTTGGATGTGGAGCTTAAGTAAGTTATATATACCATGGACCAATTTTAACCCTAATTACTTTTCCATGTAATTGCTAATTGATCCTTGCACTTAATTAAACCTTTTAATTAAGTTTAATAGAAGTTCATAACTTTTACTTTTTATTAAGTCAAAGTTAATCACCTTTCCCAATTTAATCTCAATATTCAACTTTTGTGTGCGACCTATTAGGCTTCTAACATGTTGGTAATAACCTTAAAATGTAACTTATAAATTAATTTAGGGTTAGAAAAATTCAAACTTACTTTAAATTTATCATTGATCACATCAATCACTTTATGATCATAAACCATGAAAGGGATCCAACAATCCATCATAGCCACTTAAGTATTAGAAGAGTCAAGATGGTTTGACTCAACTATTAAATGATCAGTCTCTCAGTATAATTCAATTCTTTCATCGTGTATCTTAGAAAGCTTAAGAGCATGATGCAGTGTTAACTACTAAACCTTCCATTTCAGTCATAACACTAATTAGTTATCATGGATTATAAGGAACTCATTTTCTAAAATCCATTGTACTCTGGCTAGAGTCTTCACATAAGTTAATTCAGGGCATGAACAATTGAGATATATCTCCTTAATCGCTTGGAGTAATGAATCCTATCTTCACCACTCATTTGTCGTCATGTGGTTCATGTTATACATAATGTTCATCCTTCTTAAGCATCATTGATTAAGACCCAAAGAGATGAAGTCAAAGCATCACACTCCACATATAAGATAACCTAGTGTCTCAAGTTTGAGGATCACTTGCATGACTGTCATATAAAGTTATGCTCCATTGATACTAAAGTGAAATACCAAATAGAATCCTTATATCAGGTCATGTTTAGTGAACTTGTTGCTAGGACAAGCACCTATATTATAGTTTCAAGTATCCCTATATTTCAACCTATAAAACTAGTTGCTTACTTCTAAATTAAGAAATATATAATGTACCAGTCTTTAAGCATCATTGATTTCCAGTCTCAATGATACATTGACTAAGACTAATTTAAAGATTATGCTTTGATACATAGGGATCTCATAATTGTAACACTTTACAACTCTCTTGCAAAGCAGGTTAATCTCATATACTTTATTAATAGACTAATAAGCATAGTCATATTGATAAAGAAAAACCTCTAATCATTTAGCATGAATGATATGATTGCATTATTGGATCTAAGTATTAACCAATCTGATTGGCTACAAGGCTCATTCCAACATCTCCCACTAACACAAAACCAATCACTAGCTTGTTGTATGTGGATCCAATCCATCTAGCAATCATGTTTTTGTGGAGATTTGCTTATGTCATTTAATGTGGTCAATCACTTTTATCGATTTAGTCATTGCTTGAGTGTCTTATCATATTACTATATGTAGATCCAATGAAACTTGAATTTTATTAAAATGGCTCCATTGTTACACTAACAATGTTTAAAACCCTTTATTAGTTTTATGAACTAATGATCTAAATATCTTCCTATTCAAGCTTTTTGCAATCGGATGTATATGACTTTATATATTGGTATAGTCTCTTTAATACCTCAAAACCATTCTAATTGGACTTTGAATCATATACATGTCACTTTGTGTTGTGTTGCTCAATCCTTTTAAATTTTGACAGTTTCTTTATATACTCATTGCATCCCATCCAATTGTATTACCAAAGAATTAGATTCACTCCCATTAATCTTTTTATGTGTATGAGACAAATATATTCTTTTAAATCCAAATCTTTTGGATTCATTTGGACAGAATCAAGTGTATAATTCTAATGAAAAAGTCATATTTAGTTGATTCATCAAATATGAATAACACATCTTCAATGTGTCTTGCTAATTCCATGGAGTTGTTATACATTTAAAGCATATAGATTACACAACTTTATGTAAAATATTAAATGTTAGATTCCTTTGTAACCAAGTGATACTTAAGAAACTTCTTTCTAAGTATCATCATGCTCCTAAGGTTCCTAAAGAGAGTAATATTTAAAATAGTTTGAATATTCCATGAAGTTACGTATGCACATCTCAACGTATGCTTAGAAGCTTATTGGTTTGGAATGTTATAATGGGCTTTATATATTGGAGAAGTAAGGACCGCATCATATCTCTATATGAATTCACTTTCTTCTTTGAACGAACATTTCTATATTTTATTCATAAGAATGTTCCATCTATTATGAATCTATATTCATCCCTGATCAATCAATTAACTACATGTAAGAATAGTCTTCATTAAGATCATATTTTAATAAGAGTACTTCATACTATATAGTTCATATGATCTTATATTTGAATTCTATGAACCTTTCAGACAATCCAAATTATATTTCTATAGGTATAAAAGACAAAACCTTAATTTAGTCTTCTGTAAAATTAATGAAATAGGAACATTTCCCATAGCATTTATGTTTAATGGTTCATATACATCTATATGTATGAGACCTTTAAAATATATACAAAACAAAACCTTAATTTGGTCTTGTGTAAAATTAGTGAAACAAGAATGTTTCCCATAGCATTTTATGTTTAATTGTTCATATACATCTAGACGTATAAGACCTCTAAAACATACCAAGTCATTCATTTTTACACAAAAAGAGATTTAGTCATGTAGATAAGAATTACTAGCTCCTTTATGATTCCAAATCCAAAGGATCTAAGTATCTTCATAGTTTAATTCTATTTTTAATGGCCAAGACTCCAATGTCATAATTGAGATCAAATGTGATTTTAAGTTTTTCTTGACATTTATATTGAGCATTAATTTACTACTATTGTTTAG